TACTTGGGTCTGTGGATCTCTGAACTATGTATTTCCGTTATGCTTTTAGTGGAAAGGGGTTGAGGCCCGGTTCAAAAAAAAACAGGGTAAATCCAGAGGCGCCTGGCTGGACTGAGCGGTATGAGGCAAAAAATACAGTATTTTCTATTTCTCGCATGTATTTGTAAAATACTGATATGCATGTTAGACATTATGGTCTGGAAGAACAAAACACTGATTAAGGGAGTCGTTCATAAGTTCCCTGAATTTATCTTGTGTGGTGTATAGACAATGCCCTTAATTTTAGTTCTGTAGAATGTGTGAACTGACAAAATGCAGTCTTCGCCTTGGTAATGCGCCGCTGGACAGGGCCCCATGCCCATTCCGGATGAGTGCACTCGAGCTTTCCATGCGCAAGTATCCAGAGCAGCCTGACAAAAGCATAATGCGACCAGAGCTAGGCCTTAGCTTCAATTCTTTGGGCGAGGCATATGATTTCTATAATCTGTACTCTTGGGAGATCGGGTTTGGAATAAGATACGGCAAGAACTGACTAAATACATGAAGAACAAAATGGATGCAAGAAATCATCTGTGCTTGCTCGGTAAGACAGGAGAAATATTTCTGAAAGCATAATTTGTGTAAAAGCATTTGCGGAGCACGAACTGACGTAATTGTTTACTTCCTGCTGATCTCAATGCAGGGAAAACCAGAAGCCGAGAACAGCAGGTCGTGCAGATGCGAGTGCCCAGCACCAATCAGACGTCTGCGTGCGTGAAGCTGATTCGTATTTCTGGGACGGCTATGTGTCAGTAGCTCCTTGAGGCACGATCACTCGATCCCGAGCTCACGTCTATCATCATAAGAAGGTACACTCAATCCGACCAGGAAGTTAATTCAGAGTGCCCATACATGAAATGGAGACACAATATGGAGCCTGAATTCGCGGTAATCATAGTGCGCGAACTTGTTTTTCCATCTTCCAATGTCTCCAAAATCTGTAACTTTATTCTCACCTCCTTTTTTTATATTCATACCCACATGTTTTTTCCATCCTAATCAAGAAGATTGTATTAGCGGACCATGAATATGTCACCAACATTTCAATCCAGAACCAGCTTGTTGGAAAGGATATCAGTACCTCCCCTAATTTTTTATTCCTGTGCTATGCTTGATTTTCTTGCACAGTTCTTTCTACCAGTTCCATTCGAAGAAGGGTGGATATTTCTGATGTGGGGCATGATGTCAAGGAAACTCCATGTCATCGACCCCCTCATGAGAGGTGACGGCCCAAGCGAAGCAACAAAAGATATTTTGAAATGATTGCCTGGAAGTTGCACCATGCATTATTCCAGTGCCTTAATGAGTATTATGCTGGATGGCTTACGCAAGGTGGTCAGTCGGTGACCAAGTACCTGGTTGTATCGGAAGAAACTTCTACTAAGTACTTTCCTAATCGGGAAGCTTACAGCAAGCATATAAAACATAAGGTTTTTCCCCGGATATCTGCAAGTGAACTATTTTTTTACTCATTTTTTTGCATAAATGATCGAACCAAAAGGGATGAAACTGCAGCTTGCGTGCTTCATGTCGTCAGGCACTATGATGGCTCTAAGTTGAAGATCCCGCTAACAAAGGTGAATACTGAACTTATTTTTTTTTCAGTACACTCATTGCTATGTGTTCTTTTTATTAGTCACACCTGATTCACGCATTTCAACTCTCTAACAACATCAAATAACATACAGTACAACGCCGACCAAACAAAAAACAAGCACTATATGAGTGCCTTAAACTACAGGGAAACTCGTCGAAGTTGGCTCACGATGCACTCTGGACGGTACTAGCACCCAGAGAGCAGTGACTCATGGCTTGACTCCAGCTAGTCCATTTAGTGGGAAAATATAGTCGCCCGAAAGGATATGAGTGCCGTGTGACAGTATTTTCTTTCTTGTCCGTGGTAGATAACCACCCCTCGCGACATGTATCCATGAATGTTTTTACTTTCCCTTCTTATTTACCGTAACCCCATGCTTTATGCGAGGGCTATATTTAAATTCAAGGATGTAGAACCAGATAAATCATTATGCCAGTAAGTTGTGGAACCTTTTATTAAGTCGCATCAGCTTTCACCCTTGTACCATTATCGTTTTTTCACTACACATATTACGACCTGTTCATGTTGTGCCTCCAAAACTGACTTCATAAAAGAGCTGTTGTTGCCGTGGCCTCGCCCCAGCTCACCTCCGCTCTCTGCTCGCTCTCTCTGTGGCACAAACCGAAGGAGGAAGAAAGAGAAGGGGGCACAGGAGGTTTCCGGCGCACGAACGCCGCAGCCGCACGAACGGCTTCCTCTATTCCTTGAGCACAAGCTCGATGCCTGGCCACCAGTTACAACGACCACCACACAGGTTTTATACCCAGGCGCGCTGGACACGATCTCCCCGCTCCTACCTGCGCGATCCCACGATCTGGCCCGCTCTGGCCGCGTCCACCATGCGCGCCCATACGCACGCGACGCGGCGAGCCCGCCCCGATCGCCACGCTCACCCGGACCAGGTCGCCAACTGACTAGCCCTACTACCACTCGTACTATACCTAGACACTACAGGGACACGCCTCAAACACGTCCCAGATAATGGCTATAACCAAGTCGGACCATGCCCAGACACACGCACGCAAGCACGCCACGCACCTGACGCGTCCCGCGCGGACACACGCGCACACCCGACATGGTCGCCGTGGCTTATTGCCAACAAGAGCATCACTTAAATATTAGATTTTTTATTCATCTAGAATGTTTAGTGCGAGTTGTTCAGAATCCTCACATCTATGCAAACTTAGCCTTACATTTCAGTTTGTCCAGCTTTTTCTCATCGGCCACCAGTAACCGATGAACATAGTTTATCTTCTGCAAAGCCATATTTTCCAATACATTTGCACTATATAAATTTTTATTTTCATAAACACATGTGCATCTGCTGCTGTTTGTCATTTTACTTATGCACCGATCCATGCCCAAAACAAGGCACTGCATTTTCTTTACTAGACATATTGAGCAATGAGAGTTCCACATTAATTTTTTGCAGCCCAAGTATCTTTCTTTTTCGTAATGTAATAGGAATTTGGTTTTACCAGAGGGAAACAGAGCACATCTTTGCTTTCAGCTTAGTTGGTCCATGGCATATCCACCCTAGGCATAGCAGTTCCAAATATACATAGCGCACACTGTGCTCAGCAAATTTAAATAGTATCAACCGCTACCGTAGATTAACTTAGGTCTTAATATGTCTACCGAGAAGATCTAAGTACACAGTAACAGTTTGCCCTTTGCAGAGGCATTCTTCGCGACCGTGTCATACGTCAAGCAAAACGTCATGATAACCTACTATCGCCAAAGTCATAGGAGCACAACGTCAGCACCAAAAGGTCTTGCCAAACTGAAGTCAACTTCTGCAACAGTCCTTAGTCGATGATCACGCCGTATAGGAACTCTGGTATGTCCCCTTTGTTGCCCTTCATGCTCACTATTTCGTACGCCAGCTTCATCCACTGGAACTCGAAGAAACGACATTGACGAGCCTGTGAAAAATAGGAGGAACAGCACCGTGAGAGAGAAATATGTCAGGTAGATCTGACGCGTGTTGAGATGAGGAACAACTACAGATCGGGAAGACCAATTTCAGCTCAGGTCTACTTACATCGTAACGAATCCACTTGTAGAAATGCTGACTGGCCTGTGAGCCCGACCTGGAAACATTGGTCTCAATCTCGTCGCCGCACAGCGGGCACGGCATGAGCTGCAGCAACCAGTCCGCTGGGATCGGGAGCGAGTTCGAAGACGAAGCAGAGTAGCAGACATGGCGTCGCAGCTGAAGATGGAGATGAGGATGGCTCAGGACTCGATCGGGTTGTGGTTTGTTTCGGGTTGTGAATGAGTGGGTGGACAGTTGGGGAGTGTGGGTTGTGAATGAGTGGGTGGACAGCTGGACTCGACTGGCTAAACAACCCGCACGGCTCGTGATGGCTCAGAAACAGTGCCGAGCCATCTCTTGCGTATCTGTCCCGCGACGGCGGCTGGACGCTCCGTCGCAATGAATGTGTCGCTGCAACGTTCCAGGAAAGGGCATATACGGCTGGGAAATACATGGGGCAACACTGATCCACATGCGAACCATCGGTCTTGATTTCGAGAGCATCTGAGCTCGGGGTCAGAAACGGATTTTCGGGCGCCGGTGTGCTATTTCGTCAAAGTAGCAGCGGCGTCGAGAAAGGCACCAGCATCTGACAATATCACAATGCCACTAAGTCACATCATACCAACAACGTTGGCTTGTTTACCCAACGCCAACTGTAAAAAAATTTTACAGCGGCGTCTGCTTTCGAAGCCCACACAACTATGGCTAGAGGTATCTGAGGCGTTGACTCTTGCATCAACACCACTGAAATGAGAAAACATACTACTTTCTTAGTGTAGAAAGCAAATGCTTGATGATTTCACGTACATTGCATTAATACGAGGAATCACACTTGCGAAACAAACTGTAAGTAGGTAGATTAATAATGCATATATAGTTCTACCGCTGCCGACGCCAAAATGAAACTACGACATGCGCCCAACAAACGATCGAGCTAAGGGTAATACACCATCACTAAATCATTCTTTCTTAGAAAATTTCTTTTCTGTGAAAAATCCACTATTATATCCATATCCTTCCATATTTTAGAAGCGCATTGTGTATACTATTTGCAAATTTTCCATGGTCTAAAAAAGGTTAATACCATTGCCTCTAATTTCTTCAGTCGAAAAGATCATTTTCTTGATCTAGTTTTAGTTTTTTTTTGTTTCATTTTCTATCTTCTTAAAAGGTACTCCATCGGTCCCATAGTGTAAAACCTTTTTTGACACTCAAAAAGCGTCTTCCATTATGGAACCGAGGGGTAATATGAAAGCCACTAATTCGTTCTTTGGTAGAAAAAAATTTCATTATTTTGACCTTGCTCCGGCTTTATTTCATTTTCTTTCTTCTCAGGAAACTTCTTCTTTGTGAAATCCATTATTATAATTTTCATACTGACCATGTATAAGGAAATGGAGGGAGT